GTGTTTTCAAAGTATTTACTATGAAGAGATTATAAATTAAGGAAGTGACAATGGAAATGATGTTACCTGAAAAGGAGGTATAAGATAATTTACTGAATATAGAACTCACTACCAGGCATTGGTGGCACAGGCCTTTAATTCCAGCACTCCGGAGGCAGAGGCAGGTGGATCTCTGTGAGTCTGAGATCAGCCTGGTCTACGGAACGACTTCCAGGAGAGCCTCCAAACAATACAGAGAAAATTTGTCTCGAAAAAAAACTCACTTACTGAGAAAAGCTATAATATCCTTGCAGCAGCCAGGATCCAAGAGAAAGATTTGCTTTCCCTTTTCCTTTTAATCCTCACCTGTCCCACCTATCCCTGTCCATGCCCGCAAAGGTGCATGGACAGTGTTTTAGTATGTGATATTTCCCCTACAAGGAAGTATCCATCAATCAACCTAGATTATGCAATTATAGAATCTATACATATTAATATTCAAAATGGGAAGAAAGTAGTATTAAATGTATTTGATCAATAATGCTTTCAAAACATCCATAGAGAATGCTAGATTACTTGCAACAAATGTGATTGCATCTTTAGTTTCCAAAGATGACTTGAAGTCCTCATGGTACTTCAAGGCTGTATTTCACCCAGAGGCATATCAATGAACATCAGGAAACTTCAATTACCTTGGGCTGATCAGATTATGGATATAGGGCCATCTTTGGAGTGACTGGAGACACTTGTGAAAGAGAAGCTCCAGGCATGTCAGACGAATGGCCAAACAACAAAAGAAAGGAATGTACTTGGTAGGGAAAAAAGCAAACATTTTTTAAATGAGAAAGTGCATTGTCAACTGTGGATTATTAAACCAATTATTGCCAAAATGAAAATTAATGACATGACTCAAATATCTTAAAACTCTTCATGTTATCAAATTGGGCAACTTTGGATAGAAGAAGGATCCAGGAAAAGATGCAGGAAGAGAAGTGATGATCAGAATATTTTGTACAAAATAAAATATTTTCAAAATACTCAATTAAACAATTTTAAACACTGCATGGGATGGCTGGGAATGGTGGTACACACCTTTAATCTAGTCAGGAGACAAAGACAAAAAAAATAATCAGGTCAAACTTTGAAAACCTGTCACCCTCAAAATTCCAAAAATTTAAATGATATGGACAATTTCCTGAATATATATCACTTACCAAAATTAAATTAAGAACAGGTAAGCAATTTAAATAGACCTAATGAAATAGAAACAGTCATCAAAAGTCTTCCTCCCCCCCCACAAAAAAACAGGCCCAGGGCCCAATGACCTCTGTGCAGAATTCTACCAGAAATACAAAGAACAGAAAATACCAATTCTTCTCAAATTATTCCACACAGTACAAGCAGAAAGGTCATTGCCAAACTCGTTTTACCAGGCTTCAATAACCTTGTTACCCAAACCTCACAATGACTCGACAAAGAAAGAGAACTACAGACCAATATCCCTCATGAAAATTAATGTAAAAATACTTAATAAAATACTGGCAATTAGAATCCAAGGACCTGTCAGAAAAATCATTCAACATTCAACATGATAATGTAGGTTTCATCCAGAGAAGCAGGGGTGGTTCAACATATGAAAATCCACCAATGTAATCCACCATATAAACAAACTGAGAAAGAAAAATCACATGATCATCTCACTAGATGCTGAAAAATCCTTTGTAAAAACCCAATAACACTTCATGATAAAGTTTTTGGAGAGTCTAGGCATAATAAAAGCAAAATACAGCAAACCAACAGAAAACATCAAACTGAATGGAGAGAAACTTAATGTGAGTCCTCTAAAATCAGGAACAAGACAAGGCTGCCCACTCTCTCCATACTTGTCAGAGCATGCATCTCTGTGTTGAAGGAAGTGAATCACCAAGGGGTGGGCATTGGTTTCTATATTCACTTAGTGCTGCCTGTTTCTGCAAATGTAGAACTCTGGATCTTTCTCCATAATCATATCTGCCATGTTTCCCACCATGATGGTAAAGCACTAAACCTCAGAAAAGGTAAGCCAATACCAATTAAATGTTTTCCATTATAAGAGTCGCCAGGCCTCCTCACTGACACCCACGTTCAGGGGGTCTTGAAGGCCTATGTAATATATTGGGCCTTGGGTAATAGATCAGTATTTATCCCGGGTATACAAATGGACTTTGGGTGCCTATCGAATTATGAGAGATGCACTCTCATCATGGACTCCCAGGGGAGGGTCTAGGCCCTGCCCTGGATTAAATGACAGACTATGGACACCCCCATGGAGGGCCTCACCCTCCCTGGGGAAATGAGGGAATATTGGAGAGGTTGGTGGGAGGGCATGGAAGGAGGGGAGAAACAGGGAAAGGGACCTGGAATTGATATGTGAAGCAACCTTGTTTCTAATTTAAATTTAAAACTAAAAATAAAAAAAAATAAAAATAAGAGTTGCCAGGTTCATGGTGTCGCTGCACAGCAATAAAATCCAAACATTAAAGTGTTATTTAATTACTTTTCACAAAACTCATGTATTGATCTGATGTATGTTCATGTTAATTGAAACTATGTTATGAGGTTATGCTTTATTCTCTGGTCTCATATTTTCTGCCTTCCCAGCCCAAGGTTCCTGCCTTACTATCTCTCACCTTAAAAGAACAAGGATCTACATTGTTACAGCATCATCTCTAACAGTTCATTATTGGACATATTTGTTGTGTGGAGCATCTGATTTTGGAAAATGTTGTGGTCCTTGATTATCTCCAGAGTTTGGTGTTACTGTGAACTCTTTATCTTTGATAATTAATTTTACATGGTCCTCTATCAGACATTCCCTTCATATAATAAATATTAATGTCATGTCCTTCGTACATATGCATTTATATGGGGATTGTGTTGGATCAGACATACAACCACTGAGCCACTTTTATATTAGAGATTGTAACCTTGATTAAACCTTGTGAGACAGGGTTACATGACTATTGTCAAGGGAAATCTTGGTACAGCCTGAAAGTTCTGTAAAACTTGACTATGCAGATTTTGGATTTACATTCTGGGACTACTGGTTGAACCAAGTCATCGAGGCCCCAGTGAAGAGGCAGCTGTAGGTTGCTGAGTAGAAACAAAACTAATAATCATGCAACACATACCCTGTAACCAAAGAAAAATTAATTTTTTGTTTTCCCTTTACCAACTCATTTTCAGCAAAAAGAAGGAATCTTTATTGAACAGCTTTTAGTGTGACAGCAGCTATAGCTCAGAAAATATGTATTTAGAACAGGCTTTCATGAATTATTCTTGAACAATGAGGAACCACATTCATTTAGATTTATATACCTATCATTGATCTACAAGAAAAGAGAATTTTCATCAATTACAGTGGTATAAAACTAGATATGTGTGAATCTCAGCTCTTCCTGAAGTTTCCTGCACCTCAAGTTTTGCTTCATACATATTGTAAATTCATACTGTGTTTAATGGTTTCTGGGCTCAAGAAGTGTTGCTGACTAACAGGCAGCACCCTTGCCCCTCAAGTCAGGATATTTGCTGCTGGGCAAGGGTGGCACAAGCCTTTAATTTCAGCACGTGAGAGGTAGAGGCAAGCATATCTTTGTGAGTGCGAAGCTAGCCAGGTCTACAAAGTGAGTTCCAGGACATCCAGGACTGTTACATAGAGAAAACCTGTATCTAAAAACAAAAAAGAAAGAAAATAAATATCAAATATGGTGAATGTACAAAGAACATGAATCCTTATATGTTCCTGTTAGGAAGGTGATTTGGTACAACAATTTCAGAAATCATTGTAATAGTTCTTAAAATTTAGAAATAAAATTTAAATATATTCCATTATTTCACTACTGGGTAACCATTCTGAGGGGCTGTTCAAGTCACAAAGTATGAATAGGAGGCTTAGTTTCAGAGAGTGGCTACCAAAACATTTCTTCACTTCTTCCTGTCTTCCTTCATCTCACTTGATGTGTTATCCCTTTAAGTAAAGGAAAACTCCAAGAGACCCTAAGGCATTGTGTTGTTTTCCATGAATTTTCCTAGAAAACAGATGCAAGCCTGCAGTTCTTTCTTTTAACCTTGGTTATTTTCCTCAGGAAACTACAAAAGCAGTAGTGCCACGATCAACAGGAACAAAAACCCACAATGAAGATGGTTTCTTTCACAGAGAATAAATTCATCATGAGAAAAATTATAATTAAACATTTTCTTCTCATGTAGGATGTCATTATTCAAGTTTCCTTATATTGTAACTTATTGTCCAAACATTATGAAAGTGCCACATCTTCAAGTGTGGCAGATAACTGAAAGGACATCTGAACACAACTAGAATTCAGGCAGGAGACTCCTTCATAGTCCCAGATATGGAACCTGTGCTTCATTTAAGGGTATTAAAACTAAAGCATCTAAAGGTGAGTTGGTGCCTAAGGGTGATAACACACTCCAACAAAATGTTGACTTGCTTCAACAAATGTGCAATCTCACCTGGTATGTTAATAGCTTTATCATTTAACAAAGACTAATTCTAGAGAACAGTTGTGATTCTCCAATATATATTCATCATATAAAAGAATCAAGTCTAGGCATGTGTGCATGTTATACTACTGAATTAAACCTCAAAGGAGTTTTTAGGTTTTAATAATTCTATTTAAAATTAATTCAGCTTTATATTATTTCTTGTTAAGTATTCAAAATAATATTTTATTATACTTATGGTGTAGGCAGAATTGGAGACATGGCTAAAGCCATGAAATGTAATCACATAGACATAATAAACAAAATTATATTGTGAACACTGTTACTGTCAACATATCCATTTAACATTTTCATTCTACACTAATATCTGCCTTCTCAACTGCTTCAACCATAGCCCAGATGATATAGCAGGAAGAAATGCAAATTTGGCCTTCCTCTGCTTATGAAAACCAGCCCAGCCATGACCCTGGATCTCTAGCAGAGGAGTCCAGTCCTGAGTTCCCTGGTCTTCCCATTCAGGGAACAGCAGTGAACACAAAATACTCACCATGAATTTGTGGTTGAACTGCATTTTCCTTGTATCTCTTTTAAAAGGTCATTTATGGGAACAAGTGTTGCTGTGGGTGAAGGTGCATGAATAAGAAGTGTGCCTGAGTAAGAGGGACAGTGGATCTGTGCAACATTTTTCCTGACCAGAATTCTCTTCTCTTCGTTTCCAGGTGTGCAGTGTGCAGTGAGACTGGTGGAGTCTGGAGGTGGCTTAGTACAACCAGGGGTTTCCATAAAACTCTCCTGTGAAGCCTCTGGATTCACCTTTAGTGATTTCTATATGAACTGGCTCCGCCAACCTCCAGGGAAAGGTCTGGAATGGATTGCAGTGAGTAGAAACAAAGCAAATAGTCACACAACAGAGTACAGCACAACTGTCAAAGGCCGGTTTACCATCTCCAGAGATAATTCCAAAGATACCCTCTACCTGCCAATGGACAGCCTGAAACCTGAGGACACAGCCACTTACTACTGTGCAAGAGACTCCACAGTGAGGGGAATTCAGTGTGAGCCCAGAGAGAAAACTCTGTGCAGAGATGCTCAAAACCAACAAGTGGCGCTCAAGGACACAGACCATGAGAGAAAACGAGGTTCTCCATATACCAACTTTCTCAGGAAAGTTCTCTGGAACATATAATGTTTAGTCTAATATTGCAGCCTCAGTACTGGAAAGTGGAAACTGTACATAATGTCTGAACTATGAGAAACGGTAATGTGGTTGTAAATGTCTACTTTGCCAGAGTGAAATCCCTGAGACAAAAAATAGAAAATCCTAAAAGAAAGATACTTTTTCCTTTCAAGTATTTGGTGCACTTGGATATATTTCTCTGCAACATATTGAGCAACATTTTAGGATGTTGAAATTCTATATAGATGACAGTCACTGTGTTTTCTTTTAAAACCATATTAGAATTTTATTCTAAACCAAGATTTTTAGGCTTGAAAAAAAGATTATTGCAGTAATGCACTTCTCATATTTGAGATTTATGTGTATGATATCAATCTATTACTTTAAACAAAAAGTAGGAATGCTTTAAAACCAGCATTTGGGAGGTAGAGACATGTGGTTCTCTGTGAATTTGAGGTCAGCCTGGTCTACCGAGTGAGCTCCAGGAAGGATACAAAACAACACAGAGAAACCCTGTCTTGCAAAAATGGTGACTTTAGTACAATGTGGGTCATTTTTTAAAAGGAATGTCCTAATGTTTGATAAAAATTCATTTTTATATTAATTACATTAAAGTAATTGTATAGTTCCATTTCTGATGGACGATGTTTCAGACATTGACAAAATACATAACACTTCCATCTTTTTGACATAATTCATTAGGAAACTTTCTTGGTTCCATACTAGTTTGAAGTTTTGTCATTAGCTTACTGTTCTTACCTTTATAATTAAATAAAATTAAAGAATTTTATGTCATATCAGTCCTGATTTGTTATTTAAAGAAGAGTGAAGTTTTATATCTAGGAAGATCACTTTAAAGGATCAGGCACTAAAGATCAAGATTTTCTAAATGACTCTCTTTTTGTTTTGTTGAACACTTTTTACCTTTGTGCAGAATGGTTCTACTTAAATTAGAGAGAACCAGTAAAGCTCTGTGTTTTAAAGAACCAACCCAAAAGTAAAGTCCCTTTCATTGCTATCAACAAAATCCACATGGAATATAAGTTAATATATAGAATAATGAAAATTTGAAATCATTTTTTATAACTTCTGGCTTTTAAATCACATTTTTAAAAAACAAGCTATGAAGCTTAGAGAAATGTAGCTCAATTGTTTGAAATGTGTCCCATGCACTTCTATACTAACACTTTCTTAATGATTCTATTGTAGAGTGGCCATTTGGAATAGAAACCATGGTGTTTCACATTGTATATTATAATTTCTTCATAAAATGCAAGATTCTGATACAAAAAAATAAAAATTTCATGACAGAATTAGAGCTAGGTAAACATTTTCCGATATATTCTTTCATGACTCATGCTCATTGGCTATGTTAAGTCATTCTTCATCCTGAGTATTTAGCTGTACTTGTTCTCTTTTCTATAGGCTATACTGTTTTCACACACACACACACACACACACACACACACACAACACACACACACAGTGAATATTGGGCTATATTCTTGATGGGGGATGTCCTTTTTTATCTATGTTTCTCTTATTGGTTGATGAATAAAACACTGTTTGGCCAATAGCTAGTAGAGGCAGGAAGATATGCAGGGCTAGGAAACAAGTAGAATTATGGCAATTGAGGTAGGGAGGCTCCAAGAAGAGCCACTATTTGGTCAAGGCCCTTCTGCAGTAAGCCAAGATCATGTGGAATTACATAAATTTATTGGAATGGGTTGACAATTAACTCAGAGCTGGCCGATAAGAAGCCCTATACATCAGCCAAAGGTTTTCCTACGAATATGGCATCTGTGTTTTAGTTTGGGACTGATGGTGGCAGGACCTTGTGGGACAAGAGCACTCAAACAACATATTGTGTATATGTTGATAAAATATGCTTTTATCCCTTCAAAGTTTGTGTCACCCCATTAAATATGGTATACTTTATATCCATCCAATTTTGAGAAAAGTTTGTAATTTAAATATTCTTTAGAGATGAATTATACCCCATATTTCATATAGAAAAATACATTATTGGGTGTAGTAAACAAAGTAGTATGAATATCTCTGTGGATACACACACACACACACACACACACACACACACACACACACGGTTTCCATGATGGTTGCATTAATTTGCATCCCCACCAACTGTGAACTGTGAATAAAGACTGCTTCCTCTAAATATCGTCGCTAACATTGTTGTTAAAAGTATTCATGGCAACCAATTTTACTTTGGTGAGATTTTAATTTGAACTATCATGATGTCTAGGAACATTGCCTAATTAAAAAAATTCATTTGCTATTTGTTTTCTTTGTTTTTTTCAAATCTCATACTTGACTTTCCAAAGTTTTCATCAAATTAGACAAATATTTTTCTACTTGATATTTCAAGAAATTTTCAGAATTCTAGATTATGGGAAAATTGCAATAAAGAAAAGCATTTCTCTGAATATTTTCATTTTATTTTCCCTTTTTTGTACCAATGATTGTCTTAATTTCGATCTCTATAATGAATTTCACTTAATTAACTATTTAATAATAATTTATTTGTTATTTAAATGTTTGACTGATGTTTACAAAGTAAATTTTTATGTCTTAGATTCTACCATAATTACTCTCACACCTCCTAGTTTTGTGTGTGATTATAGAAACGTATCACAAACTGTCCTCCCAATTTTATCTATTTACTTTTACATGATACTAATTATGTGATGTGGTTATTGTTACTATTTTGTATAGTAGTTACACTTTAATATCTTGTTTACATGCCTCAGTGTGTGTGTGTGTGTGTGTGTTTATGATCTGCCTGTGTTCATTTTAAGTACATAAGGAGGAATTAGGTAATTATCATCAAGTTGATTCCTTTTGGGATATTGTTGGTGGAAATATTCCTGTGATTCTATTTTCCTCATTTTTATTTCAGATTTTCAATGCAAGAACTATGTACTCCAATGATGCCTATGTGGAGTCACATCTTTTGAACTTTTGATTATTTTTCTGGGACATTACATGCCAAAACTATTTTGAAACATCTAATCAAACCAGAAGTTATTTTCAGGCTTGGTTGCGGGTATGATGCACATCAAAACCAGTGAATGTGCCTTTCAACATTAAGAGTGAAAGAATTTGAGAGAGTCTGACTACCAGTAAAAAAGGGGTTTCCCTAAAGTTCTTAACATAAACTATTGTCTATGCAGCTATGGAGTTAAAATTCATAGGCCCTAGCTATATGTCACTTTGTATTTATTTTTAATCATGAAAAGTCTATTTAAACTAAGTGAATTATGGTCAGTTAGACAGTACAGCTTAAGAAAAATCAACTTCATAATAATACATCCTTGAAATTCCCAACATAATGGGATGTTTCCACAAGATAAATCTACTACATTTCAGACAGTGGGAATCTCCCTACACCCAATCACACCATGCAAGATTCAAGTAAAAGATGGCAGAAGCAAACATGTAAAGACACCAAGGAAGAAAAAGATATTCTGGAGTCTGTGATCCCTGGGTTTGGACTATTAGAGATTCATAAACGTGGAAATCACCTCCTGGTGGGCTGACACCAGTGTTTCACTTGCCACCTGCGGCCCTTCTGACATGTACACCAGGTGCTCCTCTGGCATGTCTGCCTGCCAACATGTAGAAGTAAAATGCTGAGGTCTTCCTTGAAGTTCAGTTTCTCAGTCACTTTAGGGAAAAAAGAAGAATTGAACTAGAAGATAACACGATAAATACACATGCATGATAATGCTTATTAATTTGATTAGACGAACACTGGAAATCAGGCACACAACATGACCTTCGTATGGTCATGGAGATACTAACATCAGGAAGCAGCTATACACAAAGCTATAGCTTTGCAAGGAGTTTTAGGTTCATTGGGGATGAGGTTCACACTGTAGTGCTAACTCCTACAAAAATGAGCACCAGAAAGCAATGTCACTGCAGTGTGTAATCATGGTCAGGGAGAACAGAGTTGAAAAAACATTAAAAGGAGTCTTTTGTTTGCCAAAAAGCTAGTAGGAGATGACTTAACAATGATGGAATTTAATAACATTTCCCCAAAATTAACATTATGACCTGCATCCCATATACAAATAACCCAGGACCTGCCGTTTCCATGTGTGGCAGCACAAAATCATATAACCACTTTGAACATCAGTATGGTGGTTCATCAGGAAAATTGGAATCAGTCTGCTACAAGATTCAGCAATTCTACTTACTCTTAGGTATATACTCATAAGATGCACATTTGTACAACAAGGACATATCTTCAACTATGTTCATAGCATCGTTACCTGCAAACAACCTAGATATTCCTCAATTAAAAATTGAATAACCATTCATTTAAACGACGAAGTATTACCCAGCAGAATTAAACTATGGAACCTTGAAATTCACAAGGAAATGGATGATACTAGAAGGAACCATTCTGAGTGAGGTAACCCAGTCAACAAAGACAAACATGGTATGCACTCAAAAATATATGGATTTTAGACATAGAGCAAAGGGATTACCTGGCTAAAATCCACACTGCCAGAGAAGCTAGGAAACAAGGAGGACATTAATAATGATATACATGGACCCTTGGAGAAGGGACAAATGAAAAGATCTCCTGAGTAAATTGGGAGCATGGGAGCAAGAAACAGGGAGTTAGGAGGAAGAGAAGGGGAGAAGTGGGAAAAGAAAAACATGAGAGAGCAGGAAGATTGGGTCAGAGGAAGAATAGATGAGAGTAAGAAAAGAGATATCTTAATAGAGGGAGATGTTACAGGCTTGAAAAGAAATCTTGTACTAGGGAAAGGTCTAGAAATCTACAAGGATGACCCCACCTAACAATTTGAGCAATAGTGGAGAGGCTACCTAAAATGGCCTTCCCTGATAATGAGATTGATGACTACCTCATATGCTACCCTAGAGCTTTCATCCAGTAGCTGAAGGAAGCAGAAGCAGACATCCACAGCTAAACACTTAGCAGAAGTCCTGGAATCCAGTTGGAGAGAGGGAGC